AATTCTTTGGGAAAATGGGAATATTTGGAAGGAATTCTTGAGGAAAAATGGGAATATTTGGAGGGAAATTCTTTGGGAAAATGGGAATATTTGGAGGGAAATTCCCTTGGAAAATGGGAATATTTGGAAGGAAATTCTTTTGGAAAATGGGAATATTTGGATGGAAATTCTTTGGGAAAAGTGGGAATATTTGGAGGGAAATTCTTTGGAAAATTTGGAATATTTGGAGGGAAATTCCATTGGAAAATAGAAATATTTGGAAGGAATTCTTGAGGAAAAATGGGAATATTTGGAGGAAAAATGGGAATATTTGGAGGGAAATTCTTTGGGAAAATGGGAATATTTGGAGGAAATTCCTTTGGAAAACGGGAATATTTGGAAGGAATTCTTGAGGGAAATTGGGAATATTTGGAGGGAAATTCCTTTGGAAAATGGGAATATTTGGAGGAAAAATGGGAATATTTGGAGGGAAATTGGGAATATTTGGAGGGAAATGTTCTTGGATAAATGGGAATATTTGGAGGGAAATTGTTTTGGAAAATGGGAATATTTGGAAGGAAATTCCCTTGGAAAATGGGAAGATTTGGAGGGAAATTCTTTTGGAAAATGGGAATATTTGGAGGAAAAATGGGAATATTTGGAGGGAAATTCTTTGGGAAAAGTGGAAGGACATTCTTTTGGAAAATGGGAATATTTGGATGAAAAATGGGAATATTTGGAGGGAATTCCCTTGGAAAAATGGGAATATTTGGAAGGAAATTCCCTTGAAAAATGGGAATATTTGGAAGGAAATTCCTTTGGAAAATGGGAATATTTGGAGGAAAATTCTTTGGGAAAATGGGAATATTTGGAGGGAAATTCTTTTGGAAATTGGGAATATTTGGAGGGAAATTCTTTTGGAAATTGGGAATATTTGGAGGAAAAATGGGAATATTTGGAGGGAAATTCTTTGGGAAAATGGGAATATTTGGCGGAAAATTCTTTTGGAAAATGGGAATATTTGGAGGGAAATTCTTTGGAAAATGGGAATATTTGGA